ATGGTAACAGGAAATTTCAGACTGAGCATGTTGTTACAAAGGCAATGGACCAGTCAACATTTGTGCCAAGATTGATTAGTATTGAAGCAGTTTTTATAGTTTTATAGCAACTTGAACTTGTAACGGGAGACTTTTCAATGAAAACAGCCATTTTTCACAAAATGCTCATGGGGTAATGGGTTAAGGACCAGCAGACATTTTCACAAAAAATCTTACGATTTATCTTAAGTTTTTCACTTACGATAATCGTAAGTTAAATCTTAAGTCATTTTCACAAAGCCACTCGTAAGTTAAAATTTTATCTTAAGATAAAAAATTCACTTACGATAAAAAACATCCCTAGCAACGTTCCTTTGATATTGATGTGCATGCTCTATATTTGATTCCGGTTTTAAAATCAAGTAATAAAGAGCTTGAAATATCTATTGAACACAATCAAATTTCAATAAGAACAAACAAATGATTCAAACTGATATAATTTCTTGATTGAAGATAATTATAAATATATAAAAGATTCAAAAAGAAGGTCTACTATGTTATTAATAAATAAAAAGGTACCACTTAAGTACAAGCTGGCAGAGATAACGAACTCACCAAATGTACAAATTATCAGTTTTCAATAATATACTACAGTATAGTTCACATCTAAACTATTCATAACCCTCTCCATCGTGACGTCATCAAGTCATGACGTCACAACTGTTTATGTTGAAAAATAATTATACCTCAATAAAGTGTAATTTATAGCATACTGTTTGCTTTATATATATTTGTCCTCCAATTTTGTGTTTGTTTTTATTCAGTTTAGGTAAGAGATACATGATATTTTACCCTTAAGAGAGAAAAAATTACACTTACGAACGGGGAAGACCTATCGTAAAGTTACGACAGATTTTGCACTTAAGATTTTCTTAAGATTTTTTGTGAAAAGGAGATTTATCGTAAGATTTCTCTTACGATAAAAAATTGTCGTAAGTTTTTCTGTGAAAATGTCTGCAGACCTTGTTGTTTATCAAACCCAAATTTGCTTGGGCTCTTTAATGACCTTGACCTTGAAGGTTATATTACTGAATTTTCTCAGATTTGTGCATTTATTGGTGTGTAGTGTATATATATATCCTGTATAGTATATGTATTATATATATATAAAATTTTGTGTGTGTATATATATATATATTATTATATATGCATGTATATATATTTATATATATATATATATATATATATAAATATATATATATATATAAATGTGTGTGTATATATATATATATATATTTTTAGAAATATTGCGTCATTTTTTTCTATTTTTAGAAATTGCGTCATTGTTGCTATTTTTAGAAATTGCATCATTTTTTCTATTTTTAGAAATTGCGTCATTTTTTCTATTTTTAGAAATTGCATCATTGTTGCTATTTTTAGAAATTGCGTCATTTATCTATTTTTAGAAATTGCGTCATTGTTTCTTTTTTTTAGACATTGCGTCATTTTTTCTATTTTTAGAAATTGCGTCATTTTTTCTATATTTAGAAATTGCGTCATTGTTGCTATTTTTAGACATTGCGTCATTTTTTCTATTTTTAGAAATTGCGTCATTGTTGCTATTTTTAGAAATTGCGTCATTTTTTCTATTTTTAGAAATTGCGTCATTTTTGCTATTTTTAGAAATTGCGTCATTGTTGCTATTTTTAAAAATTGCGTCATTTTTTCTATTTTTTAGAAATTGCGTCATTTTCTCTATTTTTAAAAATTGCATCATTGTTGCTATTTTTAGCTCGACTATTCGATAAGAATAAGTAGAGCTATTGCAGTCACCCGAGCGTCGGCGTCGGCGTAACCACTTATGTTAAAGTTTTTGTAATAGTTCAAATATTTTCAAAGTCCATTGACATATGGCTTTGAAACTTTGCACACTTGTTCACCATCTTGACCCCAACCTGTAAACAGGAGGAGGTAACTCTATCAAGCATTTTGACAGAATTATGCCCCTTTTGTTTCGCCTTGAAAAAGGTGACATATAGGGATTACTTTTGTCAGCGTCCTGTCGGCGGCGTCTGTTGTTGGCGTCCCCTAAAGCTTGTCCGGAGCAATAACTCAGTCACTATAAAGTCCGATTGACTTCAAACCTCGGTATGCATGCTTCTTTTCAATAACCCGAAGTGCAGTGCACAAGACCGGTACTCTGCAGTTCTTATTTTTTGAGTTATTGCCCCTTTGTTAATTTTCATACTTAATTTTGTCCGGGCCATTTCTCTTCAACTAAAAAAAGCTATGGACTTGAAAACTTCATAGGATGATAGATCTTATTAAGAAGAAGTGCAGTGCACAAGAACCGGTACTCTGCACTTCTTATTTTTTGAGTTATTGCCCTTTGTTAATTTTCATACTTCATTTTTGTCCGAGCCATTTCTTCCTAATGTATAAAAGCCATGGACTTGAAAACTTCATAGGATGATAGGTCTCATTAAGAAGAAGTGCAGTGCACAAGAACAGGTATCTATGCATTTCTTATTTTTGAGTTATTGCCCTTTGTTTATTTTCATACTTTAATTTTGTCCGGGCCATTTCTCCTTAAGTTAAAAGCTATGGACTTGAAACTTCATAGGATGATAGATCTCATTAAGAAGAAGTGCAGTGCACAAGAATCAGTACTCTGCATTTCTTAATTTTTGAGTTATGGCCCTTTGTTAATTTTCATACTTAATTTTTGTCCAAGCCATTTTCTCCGAAAGTATAAAAGTTATGGACTTGAAACTTCATAGGATGATAGATCTCATTAAGAAAAAGTGCAGTGCATAAGAACTGCTACTTCTGCATTTCTTATTTTTGAGTTATTGCCCTTTTGTTGATTTTCTCACTTTATTTTTGTCCTGGTCATTTCTCCTCAAGTATGAAAGCTATGGACTTCATAGGATGATAGATCTCATTAAGAAAAAGTGCAGTGCATAAGAAACTGATACTCTGCATTTCTTATTTTTTGAGTTATTTGCTTTTTGTTGATTTTTCTTACTTTATTTTTGTCCTGGTCATTTCTCCTCAAGTATGAAAGCTATGGACTTTGAACATCATACAATGATAGATCTTATTGATAAGAAGTGCAATGCACAGAAACTGCTGCTCTGCACTTATTATTTTTTTAGTTATTGCCCTTTGTTATTTTTCATATTTCATTTTTGTCCTGGCCATTTCTCCTAAACTACATTGTTCACAAGGCGACACATCCGACTCGCGGAGTTCTAGTTCGACTTAGAATTTACGTTAAAGTTTTTGTAATAGTTCAAATATTTTCAAAGTCCATTGACATATGGCTTTGAAACTTTGCACACTTGTTCACCATCATGACCCCAACCTGTAGACAAGAGGAGGTAACTCTATCAAGCATTTTGACAGAATTATGCCCCTTTTTTGACTGAGAATTTACGTTAAAGTTTTTGTAATAGTTCAAATATTTTTAAAGTCCATTGACATATGGCTTTGAAACTTTGCACACTTGTTCACCATCATGACCCCAACCTGTAGACAAGAGGAGGTAACTCTACCAAGCATTTTGACAGAATTATGCCCCTTTTTCGACTTAGAATTTACGTTAAAGTTTTTGTAATATTTCAAATATTTTCAAGTCCATTGACATATGGCTTTGAAACTTTGCACACTTGTTCAACATCATGACCCCAACATGTAAACAGGAGGAGGTAACTCTATCAAGCATTTTGACAGAATTATGCCCCTTTTTGGACTTAGAATTTATGTTAAAGTTTTTGTAATAGTTCAAATATTTTCAAAGTCCATTGACATATGGCTTTGAAACTTTGCACACTTGTTCACCATCATGACCACAACCTGTAAACAGGAGGAGGTAACTGTATCAAGCATTTTTTTTACTATCAAGCACTAAGAATAGTCGAGCGTTGCTGTCCTACCGACAGCTCTTGTTAGAAATTGCGTCATTTTTTCTATTTCTAGAAATTGCGTTATTGTTGCTATTTTTAGAAATTGTGTTATCGTTGCTATTTTAGAAATTGCGTCATTGTTGCTATTTTAAGAAATTGCGTACTGTTGCTATTTTTAGAAATATGCTTAATGTTTCTATTCATATATATATACAAAATATATAAACAAAACTAATGTGACAAGACAGACCAACTAAATTTATAAAAATGAAATGTTAATATATGTTCAAACCTTTCTATGTTTGCGTTTAGAAAAAGTAAAAAGTCGAGCGTTTGGGTCGTCAGACCAAACAAATAATGGTAGCGAAATTTCAGACTCTGATGCTGTTAATTGCAAATGCTGAAAGAAATCCGCTTTTTTGAAGCGGTTACTTCCCTTTATATGTACACTTACGCCGAAAAATTCAGGGGAGATCACTGGGTAAAGATGGTCAAATAACAGGCGCAGTAATTTTCAAGCAAAATAGTTCCCGAATGGTCAAAGATTTCTAATATTGTTTTATTCTTTATAGATATACATACTTAATTATAGTAAGCTCCATTGTTATTTACATCTGTGTTTAACGAAATAATAAGGGTTACAAACCCTAATTTAGAATAATATGGTTTTCTTCAGGCTGTTAACATATAACTTCACCGTGGCCGAGGGTTTTGCGCGCTCGCTTAGGAAGAGAGAAGTCTGTAGTTCAAAATCCCAGTTGAGGCAACTTATTTTTTTTCAAATTGTTTAAGTATTGAATTGAATATCAGTGTTGCAATTAGTCTTATAGCCAATTTACTACAATTAAAATGCTAGAAAGAATTGGTGGCACTATACAAAAACAAATTGGTTTATAATCTCACAACCTTCACCTTTCAGACATTCTGAGACCCAAACAAATTCAGCGCCTTCAGTGCTTTGATTTTAAGGAGCAATGCATGCAAACTATTATTTTCTTGAATGTATGTCATATATCATTGAATAATGTTGTGCAACTGGTTATCTGCCTGTGATACAGAATTTGAAATATTTTGAACTGTTTTTCTGGCCAGACTGAAATACAATTTTGTTCATTTTTAGGTCCCCTGCCCCCTACTTGGCAACGATGTATATTTTTTCATTGCGAATCAAAGGGGGACCACTGCGTCGGATATTAGTGGTGTTCAGCCTGAAGTGAATCCCGGAAGCGGAAATACGCCAATTTGCAAAATGGCTGACAATTCAACATCGGAAAATTCTGGAAAGAAAATAACGGTTACAGTTAAAACCCCTAAAGAAAAACAAGCAATTGAAATTGATCAAGATGCTTCGATTCAACAGGTATTTTGCGTCTTCATAATTTCATCCTCATCTAAATTATGTAAAACGCTAGATATGCTATAGTCCTATAAATATGACGTCGCTTTGAGATATTTCTGCTTCTGGGCAAAGCAACGTCATATCGAAATTGCTCAAAAACCCATAGCATGTTCCGCCAGAAAATCGGGCGGAACGAAAAACAATGAAGACAGCGTGTATTTACATAAGTTTTGACAAATTTATGAACAAAACTAAAAAATAAATACCTTTTGTCAAAATAATTAAACTGTCACATCCGAAAAATCATGATTAAATCCTCTCATGTATTTCAATTCTTTTTTACAGCCGATAAAATAATGGCGGGCCATAAGGTGCGCGAAACCTGATTGGCTAATTCAAATGCAAGCGTTTAACTGGAGTCAGAACAATCTAACGGAATATTTTTTTAACGAAATAATTGCCCATGCACCGTCAGTGTGTTCGAATATATTTTTCCGGTTCAAAAATTTTTGGGAATCAATCTGTAAAGCACCTTGCTTAACCAGATGGCCGATAGACAAAAAATAGATTGATGTTTATATTTTTATTTTAAATTGATAAGTACATTGTTTGAGAGTTTTTGTGTATGATTGAGCATGAACTTGAAAGAAAGAAGATAAGCTTTTGAAAATAAAGCTTGAAAGGCAAGACAAAAGACATTTTTTGATTTTTTTATGATGCTATGCGTTTTTGAGCAATACCTATTAGACGTCAGGCTTGACCGACATAAACTATAACAAGCCTGTAACGTCTAATATATTGGACTAGATATGCTAGAGATCCTTTAAGTACAGAAGATTTAGAGGTGATATCATACAAGCATGGAAATTATTAAATGGGAAGGAAGATATAGATTATAAATGTATTTTTTGGAAAAAGCACAACTTGATAATCATCACATCAGAGGAAAATTCCATGAAGTTGAAAATAAAATCATGTAAAAAGGAATTAAGAAAACATTTTTTCTCATTAAGAGTAATACCAGAGTGGAATAAAATTACCAGATTCTGTAGTATGTTCACCAACGCTGAATTCGCTAAAAAACAGACTCGATGCCTTTAAGGTTATGAAAAACAAATTTTATATACTGTAACCTATACCGGATAATAATCATTGGGTGTCAGACCTCGAGGGTCGTATAAGAGATTTCTGATCTCGCGACCCTATACGCTGGATAAAGTAAAGTAAAGTAAGTAGGGATAATGGAATGGTGATCTACCAGATGCTTGGAAAGAAGCTAATGTTAAAGCTTTGTATAGAAACAAGGGTGATAAATGTGATCCTTTAAATTATCGCCCTATCTCTTACTTCATTAACATGTAAAATATGTGAAACCCTAATGCAACACAGGTAGCAAGACACCTCACCCCCCAGACACTTCATCCCTCAAATTTTGAAGTCACTTCACCCCTTAAGACACTTCACCGCCCAAAATCAGTAAGACACTTCACCCCTCATCCAATTTTTTTCTATAAAGTTAAAAAAAAACAAGTTGGTTAATTGGTTGTATTGCCAAATGATATATCACAGCAACACATGATTAATATGTTAATACGGGGAAGTCAAAGTCCGCGAGCCCGGGCTTTGGCTTGCCCGGCTATAGACTACACATGTATATTTAAAAGAAAATCAAATAAAATAAAAAATATATAGAATTCTATACCCATCAATGAAATTTTCAGTGTCAGTTCTAGTTAGGCGCCGCCATTTACAATGTAACTCAATGATAAAAGGCGGTGTATTCCGATAACGGAACAAATCTCAACTTTTCGGATTAATAATAATCGTCGAGTGTTCCGAGTGAAAACGGAAGCGGGTACATATAATACCGAATGACACCTTTAACACGGAAAAAATGAAAGGATTTTTTACCGACTTCCCCGTTCATAGGCTTTGCCTAATTTCATATTATGAAATTAGATGCTACCTATGGTGCGGAAAGCTGTGTTATGAATTATGATTTTAGCATAACATATTTAGTGTACATGTAAACAGGCATTTTGTACTATAAACAAATCATCAGAGCGCTCGGCGCATGCCTCGGCCGTTTGGAAAATCCTGTCCGCCATTTTTGTTAATCTCTAATCACAGTTGTTGTTTTAACGTTATTTTTAATGTGCCAATTTATCAAAAAGGATATGTTAAAGTAGCTTTTTATATTTATTTATAATCGTTTCTATAGTTCTTATCACAGGAACCCGAAATTCTATCCAAAACAAAAAAATAACGATTTAAAAAAAATCCCATATCTATACTATAAAAAACACAAGGAAGGCAACAACATTTCCCCACTCACCGCTACATTTACAAGGAATATTTGTAAAAACGCCTGGAATTTACTTCCGAGCACACTAAATAAAGCACATTAAAATCTATCAGAAACACAACTTACTCTTATCAACTATCCAACTTTTACGCCAATTGAATGAATTTATCACTGCTTTTCTCCCATCGTCGGTTCCATTGCCATTTCAAGCGATAAACTCCGTCATACCGTTATTGACCAGTCTTTGTATATCCCGAAATTCTATCCCAAAAAAAGAAAGAACAATTTAAATAAAAATCCCATATGGTATACTTCTATTATATATATGGGATTTTTATTTAAATCGTTTTTTTTTGTTTTGGAAAGAATTTCGGGATATTATTAAAATCAAACTTTATAGCGATTATTGATAGAAAAAATAGCGTTTAGTTGCAGTTGATAAACATGAATTGAAATCATTTACATAATTACTATAATCCTTTTTTGTGTTGCCTCTACGGAGTAGTGGCGACATATAGGGATCACTTCTCTGTCGTCTGTCTGTCCGTCTGTCTGTCAGTCACAAAACTTGTCCGGACTACTCCTCATAAACTACTAGTGCAATTTCATCCAAACTTTACAGGAATGATCAGTAACAAGTCTAGTTGTGCATATTGTCAGCATTTTCCGGCTCAATGATTTTTGTCAGAGTTATGGCCCTTTAATAATTTTTAATTTTAAAGTTTGTCCGGACTACTTCTCTTATACCACTAATGCAATTTCAATGAAACTTTACAGGATTGATCTGTAGCTCAAGTCCTTGCGCATATTGCACAGGTTTTCCAGTTGAATGATTTTTGGCCGAGTTATGGCCCTTTGATAAAAAGGTGTTTTTTTCTGTGTGTTGCCAGATACACAAAAGCTTGTCCGGACTACTCCTCATAAACTACTAATGCAATTTCATCCAAACTTTACAGGAATGATCAGTACCAAGTCTAGTTGTGCATATTGTCAGCATTTTCCGGTTCAATGATTTTTGTCAGAGTTATGTCCCTTTAATAATTTTTATTTTTAAAGTTTGTCCGGACTACTTCTCTTATACCACTAATGCAATTTCAATGAAACTTTACAGGATTGATCTGTAGCTCAAGTCCTTTCGCATATTGCAGGGGTTTTCCGGTTGAATGATTTTTGGCTGAGTTATGGCCCTTTGATAAAAAGGTGTTTTTTTCTGTGTGTTGCCAGATACGCAAAAGCTTGTCCGGACTACTCCTCATATACTACTGGTGCAATTTTATCCAAACTTTACAGGAATGATCAGTACCAAGTCTAGTTGTGCACAGTCCGTCTGTCTGTCCTTCTGTCACAAAATTTGTCCCAACATGAAATTGGCAATCATGAGGCGACACATGTGATTACTGATCGCTCTTGTTGGTATTAATAAGTTTAATTCTCAACATCTTTAAAATGAAAAACAGCACCGAAAATATTTATTGTTGGACTCTCAGTTTGCATTTTCCATGAAAGCATTTTTTAATTTAGGCTAATTGATTTTGAATTTATGTTTGATATTTATTTACTAAAAATAAAATTATACATAGGTTCTACGTACACACGATGCCAGGGTTCTAGTAAGAATACATATATATTTATTTTTGAGATCGACGAAAACCAGTTTTTTTTTGCCATTATATGATTATTTATTACATGTGCTTTATTAACAAATAAATGATTTAATAATTCATCTTTCATGCAAATAGAACAACAAATCATAAGCATAATAAACAACAACGTTGTAACTTAAAATATTTATCATTTAATCATAAATATAACTTTGCATACACACATACAACGAAACATTCAATGTACTTTGAATAATTATGCGTCATGTAACTTTGACACTTTATCAAGATGACAACGCTTTTCCATCGTATTCTTTTTTTACAAAATGGCGGAGCATCATTATTAGAGTAAACATTATATGTGGACAAATACGGGTTTTTTGTTAAAATACCCGTTTAAAGACACAAAATAACATACGTAAATACCCGTTTTAAAGACACAAAATAACATACGCATTTTAGACATTTATTATATAATTTTTACTAGACAATACAGTGTGTCCTGGCTAGCCGTACATGAGAACTTTTGTCTAGCCTAACGGCTAGCCACTTCCTATAAATAACCTTTTCTTGGATGATCAGTTTGGCTTTAGAAACAAAAGGAATTGTATTCTTCAACTTCTGACTGTTTTAGAAGATTGGACTAAAGCTTTTGATGAAAGTTGTCAAGTAGACTCAATTTATTTGGACATTAAAAAAGCTTTTGATACTTTACCAGGGCTCGAATTTAACACTCGCAAACTCGCAAAATGCTAGTTGAAAAATGATTTTGCGAGTTAGATTTATGACTACTCGCAATTTTTTGCGAGTTGAAGAAAAAATGGAATACGCTTGTCAGGAAAATCCGAAATATAAATAGGGCGTAATATTCGCAGGAAGCCGAGTTATAAACTATGCGAACACTTGCTGTCTGGTTTACATTTTCTATACCTTAACCTCGCTTAAAAAAGTACACAAATTTAAACCAGTCCAAATGTCATTTTGTCCGTGTAAATCAAGCGTGATCGGAATAAAATGTCTAAACGAAAAATAACAAACTTCTTCCCACTTAATGAAGCAAATGTGTCTTCCGATAACAATACTCTGAGTACAGAAGATTCACAGTCTATCAAAAG